TTGCAAATGGTAGAAGATGAGTTGCAAATTCAGAGAGTTCAATTGCAAATTCAGAGAGATCGTTTGACAATAAGTTATGAATTGTGAAAAATTTATAAATCCTAAAAGTTTGATTTTTATGCAAATTGAAAGCTCTGTTATAAATAAAATATTGTACATTGTGAAAATTTTAAAAGTTTAATTTAAAATTCATTTACAACTAATTTTGCATTACTTATGATTGAAATTCTAACTTTTGAAAATTTGCAAAACTTTCAAAATTTATAACTTCTTTACAACTGATCTTCCCATATGTACAACTAATTTTTACGTGATTTGCATTTAAGCTATGTATCAACTATATAAGAGTATTTTATCCATTTATTTCTTTTTTTAAAAAAAATTATGGTCCTTTATAATGATTAATTATTTATATGGTCCTTACATGTCATTCTCCCAAAAAAAAACTTCTTCTAATAATTCAGGTGATTAATTTACACAAATTAAAAAAAATTAGTCAACTTAGCTATTTATAAAAAAAAAAAAAGTACTGCTTTCCCTAATTAAGTTAAAGTGTATCTTTGATCATTTAATTTTATATAAAATTTCATTTTAATCTTTTAATATTATAAAGTATTTTTTTTAATTCTTTAACTCTAACAATGTTAACAAGGCCAGATACAAAAGGTATATGTTTTTACTTGTAACGCATGTGAAAATTAATTTTAACCCCACTTTCTTGTAATCTTTCATTTTTGGCCCCCATATATTGATTTCTAGATCCGTCCCTGACTGTTAGTTTTAAATGATTATTTTTATACTAATTATTGATTTTTTAAAAAAATTAAATTTAATATGTTAATATTTAAAAATATTTTATTAATATTTAAAAGTTTAGCGTAAAAAATTTTTATGGATAAAACTAACAATGTTATGGTTACAAGATTGAAAAAACTTTCGTAAAATTATGAAATCAAAATAAAACCTTGTTTAAAGTTAAAAAATAAAAATATATTTTAATTTTTAATTAATCATATTAAAAATGACAAGAAATTGAGATTTTATAATTAGAAAAAAAAATCTAGGTTTAAAACCCAAGTGATTGTTACATTTGGATGTGATCAGGAGTGTTCAAGGATTTGGTTTGGTTTAATTTTAGGTAAAAACTGAACCAAACCAAACTAATTAATTTGCTTATGATTGAAACTTAATCAATTTTTGAAAAAATTGGTTTGGTTTTGTTTTCTTTTCAATTTGGTTCAGGTTGATCAAGATATGTATCAAGCTTTAATATATTTATTTAATTTTTTTCATTTTTTATAACACTTAGTATGAGTGTATCATTTTTTTTTTGTAGAGTGCATTTATATAATCACTTGATAGTTCATAACATTTTTTTTTATTTTCCTATAAATATTTTTAATAGCATGAAAATATTAACAATAAAGTAATCATATATAAACGTCTTCAAATCATAAATTATTAAAAATTGATGAAACTGTAGGTTTCTTTTGAATTATATAATTTTAATTCATTGACATTTGATCAAAGTTTGCTTATTATGTATATATGATGACATTTGAGCGTAATTTTTGCAGAAAAATATAAAACAAATTTGGCTACTATAATTTGCAAAAAAATACTATTAACAATAACCTTTTATTATCAAATATATATAATTGCATTTTTCTAATTGTAGACAATAGTTAACTAATTATAGATAAGTATTCTTAAAAAAATATCATAAAAATTATAACACTATTTAAAATAATAAATATATTTTTAACCATCAATTTATAAATAACCAAATTTAGGAAAGAGAAAAAAGATAGAAAAATTTATAAAAATAAACATAACAAGATTTAGTTCGATTTGATTCAAATTTTAAAAAATAAAAACTTAAACCGAGTTAAATCAATTGATTTTGTTAAAAGAAAAATCAAACTAAATTTTATTTATAATCAATTTTGATCATTCGTGTCGGTTTAATTTAGTTTGGTTTGGTGTCATTGATTTATATTAATTTTGAACACCCTTAAACGTTATTGGTCTAAAAAAAAAAGAAAATAGTGGACGATGTGTCGTTGAGCACACCATGCACGCAGCCATGAACGCTGCTAGTCTGCTCTACCCGCAAAAACATGTAGACGACATTTCATAAAGCACAAGGGCAGCTTCGTACTCCACTCTGTCAACAAGAAGGACACTTTGGCGAACACACAGGGAGGACGAGAAAAAAGGTCCTAAAAAAAATTAATTAATTTAACTTAAATTTTAAATATTAATTTTTAAAAGTTTATAAGTTTGATTTTTAATTTTATAATTTTATTATGATGAATTTATAATTTATTTTTAAAATTTTAATATGGTTGAAGAATAAATAAATTTATTTTTCCTTCTAAAATTTGAAACACAAATTGTAAACAGCACAATAAAATTATAAAATTGAAAGCTAAATTTATAAATTCCTGAAAGTTAGTACTGAAATCTAAGTTAAATTAATTGAATCTTTTGAGATCTCTTTGTCATTCTCCCTAATATATATTCTACCCTTTACAAGGTTGAGACGGGCACAAGTCATGAATCTCTTAATTTTTTATTTTTTTAAAATAAAATATGGGAATTATATATCTTTGGTTCCTTTAAATTGGTGTATGATAAGAGGCTAAAGACACTAAATAAAATTTTCATTGTAATTTTATATGCAGTCTTTTATGCATATGTAGTACAACTGTTTTAATAGCTTAAAAATACAGTTATCATATACTATTAAAACATTGATGTCATCAGATTTTAGTTTCATTTAATATTTAATGAAAGAAATTATAAAAAGTATTCTAAAAAATTTTGTCAGCAATAAAAATATATAATTGACATAAAGATTTTGTGATAATTAAACAAAATTACTATGTTGATATATTTGTTTATCATGATTACTAATTGAAAGAATTAAATAGTAAATTTAGTAAACAAGTAAGGTTCCATTTGGTTATTAAAATGAAATGGAATGAAATAGATTGAAAAAATTAAAACAAAAATAAATTAAATCACCCTTCCTTCCATGATAAATATGATCAAACTCAATAATATATAATACAAATGTAAGAATCATCACATCTTTTAAAATCTCATGAATCATGACTCCCAACCTCATAAATTAAATTACCCCTTACATTTATGAATATACTCACTTATTCCTTTTGATCATCTTATTTTTTATCTTTATTTTTTTAATCCATTCAATTTCATTTCTTTCTAATAAGCAAATAAGACTAATAGAATTTTTTAAATTGAACATTACTTAGATCCCAATTATACATATAAATAATTCAATGCTTGTATGGAAGGTGAAATTTTCATTAATTTAATTATAACTTATATTGAAAAAGAAATTTTTAAAAAATTTATTATAAACATGATAATTAATAATTTTTATATCATAAAAAAATTGATGAGTAAAACTTAAAAATGAAGGTATATGTTTATTTTTGTTATATATTTATAAGATTAAATATAAATATATATGTTGAAATATTTATATAATGTGTGATATATATATTTAAATTTTTTCAATTATCATATATATTGTCACTTTGGCCCCCTAATAAAAAATTCTAACTCTACCCTATTCCTTTGTATAACTTATAGGATAAATTTTTAAAGCTTCTTCTTCTTTTTTGCCTTTAATATAAAGTTAGAGTAATTAATTTTTTTCCTAATTATACTCCTTATTTATTTATGATTGTTTGAATTCTTGAAAAAGAAATTATTATGATTATTAATTGTAAAGAAAGGCAAAGTAAAAAAGTTTCATTTTTTTTAACAATTCTCTGAGGAACACCTACCCTCTTAAATTATATCATAACAGTTTAACCCTTAAAAAACTTAAAATGTAACGTATTTATCCCTAACATTAAATTAACATTTTATTCTATAATTTATTAGTCCATGCGCGCATTAAAAGTTATTTTATCAACTTATTTTTTTTTATTCCAACCAATGGATTTTACAATGTGTACATAGATGCATATGTATGTGTGTGTAAAATGCGTGCCACTAGCTATAATATATATTATTGGTATTGATGATTCATTCAGCGGATAGATTATCACATTTGACATTAAAAAAATTTATAAAATCTTGGGCATGATATTTTAGTGCAACTGATTGAAGTTAGCCAAAAAAAAAAAAATTGGATGCGTGAAATGATGAATCACATTAATATATGATTCTGTGGCCAACAAATTTTTTTTGTGCAAGCATATATTTTTATAATTTTTCTTAAAATCATCCAATATCATAAAACGAACAATGTCAAATAAATCTTTCTTCTTCACAGCTGTCATTATATTGACTCGTGAAAAATGGTTTAAAAAACAAGCCTCCATAATAATGAACACTGAATAAGAAGCACCTTTTTTTAATGTAGCTCTTGGACAATTTGAAAATTGTTACATGATTAAATAAATAATATTAAGTTTTGTAAAAAGAGACAGAAGACCCAAAAAAAAAATTAAGAAAGCTGTTGAATGAGATTTTTTGATTAATAATACACTCAACAGCTTGTTAATAGAGCACAATAACATCATGCAATCTATATGATTAACTTCATCTAATATGATAAGGCTTGTTATTATTTTGATTTGATGCGTATAATATTTTAATTCATGATGCTCCTAAAAGAAATCAAACTTAAGCTGGATGAGAAATTGTAAGACCAACCGTAAAAAAGGCTCTGATGAGGAGACCAAAATTGCAGGATCAACCATTCACTGGACTGAGAATCCATCTGCTATCCACTGACTCTCCAGTTAATTTTTTTTTTTTTTTACTGCAAAAGGATGATATATTAAGGAGCTTATAGTCATCAAATCAAAGATCATTATAAGGTAGATTCGCAAGCCATATGGCCGCCAAAAATATTTTTCAGCCAATAAAAGGGGTAGGGTAGGTGGAACTGTTCAAGATTACCATGCAGGTCTAATTCCAAATGATGATGCAAGAAATCTTTGGATTCATACCTTCTTGGTTTGGATTTGACGGACTGCCAGGTTTTCTTATTGCTTGCTAAAAATTAACAGAGCAGAACTTTTTTAGGTTGTGAATCCAGAGCATTTGAGGAAGGAATGGCAGTCCTTTTAAGTGTCTGGAAGCAGAAAAGTTTATGAACTTGACGAAGATTCCTTCCATAGATTAATCTTGGATCTTGACGGGAACAACATGGGGTAAATACCTCATGGATAAAAATGTGAAGTGACATGATGAGGCTTCAGTTTGACTTGTAAAGGATGAGGATCCTGCTTGGATGCATCTTCTTCTTGGCTTTTGCCCCTCTTGGTGACAAAGCATCTGGTATTTTAAACCATATTGCAACCCGACTTTTTCCAGATTTGAGCTGAGCTGGATGTCCAAGAGCTATAGTCTCTTCTGCTAAAACCAACACCTGTTGATGGTGTCTCTCTGTTATTATCTTGTAATAATTAGTATCAACTAAAGCAACCAACATTTGCTTAAGTAGAAGCTGCAGACCAGTTTGGGTCAAACTAATTTAAAATCCATATTCTCATTGGTTTAATTTTTTATTTAAATAGTAATGTCAGAAAGGGGTCAGCCATTATAGTGTTCCTTGACTATCTTGCTTCATGAAAATTCTTATTAAAGACGTAAAATGAACAGGGAAGACATCAGTGAAAGATAAATTGGATTAGGCTACTTCCCTGAGTTTAAAATCAGAAAAATCTATGGAGTAGTGAGTTCAGAGACATTTCCGAGACCTAATTGGCAAATTCTCGCTTCTTTAAGTAGATAAGAAGCTATTGGAATTTGAAAGTGACAAGTGAGTTGTGATCGATGCAACTAATAAAAAGAAATTAAAAGACAAATAAATTATCAAAGTTTGGTGTAGCTCCAGAAATTGTCGGCTGCTTGGAGGTTGGCTACAACCACTAACACTGTTTTAGAACCATGTTGCATCACTTTGCTTCATGGTGTGTAAAAGAGAAAACGTTGCGCCAGTTGGACCTTCAAGTGTCACCTTGGTGTGAGGATACTGGTTTCTCCAATATGTCACAGGTTCTAGTTGGCTTAGAGGGAATACGATTGGTTTTGTAAAAATGATACCAGAGACCCATATATACAGTTAGATTTTCTCTCTATTTAACAACTTGGTAAGGAGTAAGTTTTGAATATATGATAACTTAAGTTAAACCTGCAATTGTAGGAGAAGAGAGGAGATCAACATACCGCTTTGAAGTGTACTCAACAATCACCACTAATTTCATATCTGAAAAATCTGCCACAAAATTTAAAAAGAAAAGCAGATAGTAAAATGTAAAGTTTGTATGGCCCAAATCATGGTTTTTACCAAAGTCATCATGGGAAAAAAAAATTACCTAGTAAATTGCTGCTGCAGAAGCACTACTATATTTCTTCACTCATATCCAAAGAATCTGGAACTTCTAGTACATTAGCAATTGGCAATGGAAGTGGACGATTTTCTTCTGTGAAAGGAAGTAGCTCCGCTGAATACAAGCTCTTAATGATCCAACTAAAAGGCTGCAAAGGAAATCGAGATAAAGTTCACATGCATATCTGCATATAAATATCCATACATGCATTACTAATGATTATTCGTTACATAAATTTACGTTATTCTAATATATATTTGTTTGGCACTGATAACAGAAATTAATGCATAATAAACTTCTTCAGACTATCAACTATTTGATCACTTATGGTTATTCATTTTTTCATAAAATTTTTTTGCATGCGAGATCAACATGACAATTTCTTCTAATTCAACGGTTGGATCAATGAAAATCACCTCCAATGATAAAATAGTGAGGAGTATAAAAATGTTAAATTTTACGCCAATTCCAATTGACCTGTCCTTTTATATATAAAGCCTTATCAAGTGAGAGACGCAGTCTTATGCAAAAGGTGAATGGAAGAATTAATCAGTTAATCACCATAAGATCACAAATCCCTGGTCAATATTAACGCAAAATCCATTAATGGAAAAACTAAAGATGTTTATTACAAATTTGTGACAATTATGCATTATTCTTGACCATTGATTTATGATTTAAGAGTGATTATTACTCCTCTAATCTCCCACATAACATCACTCCTGCTGGGGACTGAAAACTATATAATTCCTAGTCAGTATTAAAGAGATCCTAAAAACTAAATGATATTCTTAGTTTCTTACCATAATAGGAATGCCCTTCTCCGAGGCACAGTATTTCAAGTGACGTGATATAGAAGGTTTATTTTCTGCAATAATAGCTCCCACAGAAATCCTTCCTTCATCAATGCTCCTAACTAACCAGTGAAGGGTTTTGAATACCTGTCCACCTCCATGCTGGGCAACAAAAGAACAGATTTTTTTTTTTTTAAGTGAGAGTAGGTATTAATTAATATGCAAGAAAGTCATGGGTGGACATTTTTGTACCGCTAGCTAACTAGAAGATGGACCTGGTGGCATTTTAACACGAAACAAAATATAGACGGCGTGCAGGTAATAAATTGCAGTCTCGAGTTATAAAATAGTCAACTACAAGATGGACATTATGGTATTGATATTGCAATTATTGTTGGTAAAGAAAAAAAATATTGCAATTACTGTTTGTGTATCTCAGCAGCTAGAATAATTCAAGGAATTTATTATGATTCCAGAGGTATTAATCGGATATCAGTTATCATTAAGCATCTAAATTTCAGAAATGAGCCATCCAGAGCTTGAATGATAGCAGAAAGAAACCGAAATTGAAGTTGATGGTTCCGTATTGAATTTAATTATAACCCCTTCTCCATGCTAAGGCGCTGGACATGACATATACTTTAACAAAAGAATGCTAAAATAACAAGATTACTGAAAAGATTAAATTAACAATAAAAGAGCAGATGGTTGAGTATATTATAGTTCTACAGAAAATAGACCACGATGGCCAAGGCAAAAATCGCAGTATTGTCAAGTTATTCAAGTCCTCTAAGCCCATGAATGGAAGAAAAAGACCATTACCTTGATAACACTTGCCAATTTGGTGCAGAAATTATGCTTGCCATGTAGCATGAACCCTGCTCTCTCAAAAATTGGCTTTTGGTTACTATCACGAACTGGCCTTCTTGTTACGGTTAACTTCATGTCACTCCGATTTTGAAGAATCATGTATCTAACACGGATGAATCAAAAGCAATGAATTGGATATCATTAAGAGCATGCATCATTAAGATAGGAGATTACATCAGATCAAACGTGTCCATTGACTGGGATAATTTTGTCAACCAAATTCAATGAAAAGGAAAAGATAACTCGGCACGTGGCATGAAAGAACTGTTTCTCCTTCGAACCACAATTTCATTCTTGAGTTTTAACCTTAAAAATCCAAACACATCAATCACATTCTACTCGATAGGTAGAGTTGGAGTACTGTTGTCCACCAGGAGCTGCAGTTGGGCCTATGAATCTTTCTTTTGTCCATGGAAACTTTAGAATTCTTTTGTGAATCACATTATTTCTGTCATTTCAGGTCAACTTCACATTATTCCTATTTAGTGAAAGCATGCCTCACATCTTAAATTGGGAAAAAATGCCAAACTTGATAAGGGAAGGAAAGGACTTCCATTCCTCTAATTCTATTTCACTTCCATCAAAATTTACAAATGTGAGAATCTTCTAGTATTAGGAATATTTCAGTCACAAAAATCAAAATCTAAGCTGTCAAAGTCAAGGAAGAATATAGCTTTTACAATGAGATTAAGTAACCAATAGTCCCCCCAACCCAAAAAAAAAAACTCAAAAGACAAAAGAAAAGGAAAAAGAATAGGGCGCAGATTTCAAAAGCAGAACTAGGGGAGAACATAGCTTACTTCCCAGGTTGTACAATAGTTCCAGCAGCAATACAATCAGTGAGCCAATCAACTTTTAGTATTGAGGCTCCGACAGCACATCCATACAAGAATTTGGCGGTTTGCAGCTGAGACAAATAAAAGGGAAAACATTACATAGTAGAGGGGGCAAAACGCAACAATTATTTGGCACTGTTCACTGTTGCTACTTAGGTCCTTTTAAAATATTTTCATTCTTGTTCCTATCTATGATTTCAAGCCTGTTGCAATGGGTTTGATGCAAGGGAATAGCTGAAAGTATTACAAGGTCACAGAGCACGAAAACATAACAAAACGACATTACAAGATCACAACAACTATGATGAAACGACATAAGAGGGTAGTTCAGACATAAGCTGTTGTAAACACAGTGAGTTAAGAAAAAAATTTTATAAAGATAGAATACTATGAACAATTCTACCTTTTCTTATCGGAAATTTTCTTACGTTTCAGAACAAGACACAAAATTATGTCCAGCCCTACAAGAGAATTTGGGAATAATCTTTGGGATTATGGGACATAACATTATTGATGATTGTGGAGCGACCGCCAACCAGTTTCGAAATAAAATATTAAGGGAGAAAAAAACAAAACATTATTGATGATTGAAAACAAACCTTCTCATGCAAAGACACACAGGAAGTTGTAGGCGAGAGAATGAAGAACTTCTCTTTCTCCTCGAAATTGGAGGAGACGGAATGTCAGATAGGACCACCCCACCAGAATTTCTTATAAGTGCTTCCATGTCTCTTTCCTTCTGACTAGATAATCCAGTGAGCAGGAATTCAGTGCCTTGAAATATATATTTCGTCCTTACCTTTCTGCAATAATTTGTTAGAGAATGTTTCATATGAGGCACAAAATTTGTCAATGGCTTGGAAGTTTTTCTTCTTTTCGCTCTGACAGACGAACCTACATTTTTGGAGCACAAAATCAAGTAATTTCCCACATACCCATTTTGTAGAACATAAAGATACATCACACAGTCAATATAAAAAAGATTTACTTTTTTCATATGAAGATTCCAACTTCGAGAGAGTCCTTTTCGGATGAAGCCGCTCCTCTGCCTCTGAAAAACGTACTTGCTTTTTGACTCCGACATATCCATCACGGAATTCATTGCACTCAGCTTGTAACTCATTAAGGTGTTTGTTCTGTTGATTCTGAACAGAAGACTTCGGAGTTACATGCTTGTTGGATGTTTCTCTACATTGATATCATTCCCAACAACCTCCGGATCCAGCAAGGAGTGCTGTATCCTACCATTTAGAATGGAAGTTGATGCCCTCTCTTCTGATGATTCCACTGGAATGGAAATCTTATTTGCTTCCTTAAGTCATCGATTCTCTTCTCACTTCCCATTTCTATATTTGACCGGCGATTATCAAAGAGTTCATGATTTTGCACAATTTTGCTTCCATCTGTGAACTTGGATGCAGGGAGACCTTAGAACTCCTTTCATCTGAAAGTGCAGCAACACCCGTCCGCTGATTAGTTGGCAGTAGTGTCTGGTTGCATTTTTGGATAAGAGATTGATTGGGGCCAACCATGCTATAAGTCTTAAGGACTTAACTGTTTCCGACTGTTCTGAGCAACACTAGTCAACGTCTGAGGCGTTTGTTGAACCCTATCTTCGCCGTCTGGTGAAGACATTATTTGCTCATATCTATTTCCTAATACAACATTATGATCTGAGGTCCTCTGAAAATTGTCAACTTCAAATTCAGGAATGGCGGGAACATTTATATCATTATCAATATCCTGACTCTCAGGTTTGGAATTGGTTAGTTCTGAAGGAATGCTACATGGAACAACTGAACAAAGAGGATCATCAAGTGATAGATTAGAGCATTTGGCCACATTTTGACAATGCAATATGTCCTCATCAGCTTTGGGTAAGGTTTCAGAAGGTATGCTTAATTGAGAACCAGTTCCACCATCTCGTTGCACACAAGAACTCTCATCCGGAACACTATCAGCAGATTCGGGAAAGAAAGCTCGTCTCCCTGATGAGAAACTTATAATTAAGTTCTGCATTTTTCTGGTTGAATGGGGATGGATCCGATTCCTTTCAAGCAGGAGAAAGACAGGACCAATGCCACAAGAAGAAAAAAAAAACAATATTAAGATGCTAAATCCATATTAGCATATGCATATGCTAGAGATACATTCGAAATTTTAAAATGTTAAGAACCAATCCGGTACTCTAAAAGCATATATTCAGTTTAAAGTACATCAATAATGTACATCAAGTTAAAAACAACCAATTGAGCAGACAGTTAGGAAATGAAAGAAAATGATGATACAAATTGCCAAACATCATGATTAGAATTTGGCCTCCTATAAAACAAAGTAATGAATGAACATGGAAGAGCTAGCATTTTCACAAGGTTAGAGCATTTGATTAGAAAATAGTGGAATAAGAACTAAGGCATTCAGGAAAATGAAATAGGCAAGTGGTATCCATTTAAATCCTAACAGCTTCAGCATCCTTACCAATGTGATGTTGAATCGTGATTTATGACAGTAAAAATTGAAAGAATAATATATTTCCTGGCACAGTTCTCCCAAAGTTTTATTAGTGAGTTCCTTGTTGAACAAAGTCCTAGGAGTCACCATTTTTATTCTAAAATTCAGATACTTCATATCAGAAATAGAATGTAAACCATACAAATCACTACTTCCATCAGAAATTAGTAGCCCTTTTAGCTACATGAATTTTGGTTTGGCCAACACATCCAGCATTGATCTACCAGTGATGTACAAAAACCTGACGTCCACTTAAATAGTTAGCTCTCATTGCACCATTGCACGAGCCATTAATAGCAAAAAAATTTATCCAAGAGGAAATATGAACTTTTAGATCACATGGCAACTTATCTTTCTGTCAGGAGGAAGAAGGCTTGGAGAGAAAATCAATGGTGTCAGTCTAAACTCGCCAGGATTGCATTCAACAGTATATCATAAGATAAAAGACCAAATTGGTGTGACTCATAGAAGGGAACAATGAATGAAAACAGAAGAAAAACATACCTCACTTGTCACCCACCTAACCAGCGGCTTTTAAATCTGTCAGGAGCCAAGTAATTTTCCAAAATCGTTTTTCCTGAATAATTCACAACAAATATATGATCATAAATTCTAGAGACAAAAAAGAAATATAGGTATAATGTGAAAAAGTACTCAAAGCATACTGGGAATTTCCGACAAGTGAAGATTTGACACTGTTTTGGAGTCTGTTTGAAGTTAAATCAGCTGGACCAACTGCCTGCAAAGTGAAAATCAAGGTAGTAGTATTACATTATAGCAATAAAGAGAAATTGATCCTGTAATAGTGGTACAATTCTCTGCATACCGCTCAGTAAGTGAAACAGAGAGATGATACCCACTACAATTCAGAAAAAGCAAGTTTATATCTGTCACCATGTTATATATACTGAGTCTTTTCAAATTCACTTGTTGCTGGTGAAATGTAATGATAAACAAGACGTGTTATAAGGTTGAACTTTTAAAGAATAAAACATATGAAATTTTATCCAGGAATGATGGCCCAAAAAGGAAAAGACCGGGATGCTAAATTACCTGGTTTAGGGCAGAAAACATTGGAAGTATGCTGTACAAAATGATGGCAGATATGACCCAAACAGGGTTATCAGAATGCTTATCCCTCTCACAACATATAGAATGTACAGGTGAGGTTTCGTTTTGCTGCAACTCATCTCTGCATTGACTTCTAAATGTTTCTTTGCTGAATTGTCATCTAAATTTACAAGCTGAGATATATGCTCTCCAAGTTTATTATCACAATCATGATAGTTTGCAGCATCAGATATATCTTTTACTTGAGTCATGGCTAAACTGTGATGTTCCTCAAGGAAGCTGCCGGAAGGTAACCCCACATCTTCATAAGCATCTTCCATATTAAAATCATTCAAATCAGAAAGAGTATCACTCCAATCAGAATCCTCATTTGAAGAGTGGAAGCCATCTTCCAAACCATCAAGCCTAGCCTGCTTCACACGGAGGGCTACTTCAAGTACAGCTTCAGCAGGATATGTTTCTGAAACTGATTCCATTTTTACTATTTCATGTATGACCAGTGCCTCAGACGCTGCAATAGAAAGTTCAACTGCATTACTGATATCAGAATTTTTGAAGCTTGTGACATTGGATTTTTCTCTCTGTTTTCGAGCAGAATCAACGTTATCAGAAGGACATTTAGGACCATCCATTTTCACTGTTGCAGGAATGAAACAAGGCAACATATTCTGCTCAGAGGCATGGTTACCCCTCATAGAATGCAGGTTCTCTCCAAAATCATAGAATTTTTAGTTGGTTGCACTGACAGAACTTTACTTGATGTAACTAAGTTATCAGATGCATTCAAACCCTGGGTTGGAGAAAAAGAAAACAGTGAATCGACATCTGAAAGGTGCAGACTAAAGGGCAATACCTGTCCGGCGAATATTTATAGACCAAACAAACTTAGCATTGAATTTAAAAGTAACATATAAATGTATAACCAGTTTTCCTGCTACTGGAAATAAGATGTATTTAACAAATTTCATAAGCATAATTTTTCCAGATAAGTTGTTTAGGTCTCTGAGCACAGATGCATCACTGGATAATCCTCCTATAGTAGCTGTGGTTCGGTTTCAGACTCGTTACAAGGACTTCTTTAGAATCCCTTTGATTTCTTTTGCCCAATAATTTAAAGTCTTACATAGTCCCGGCAAATCGAGGCAAGCAGCAAATCCATATAACAGATTCTACTATTATATTAGTTAATACTTCAAATACAATTAAAATGAGTAACTCTTCTAAATAAACAATAAAAGAAGTCATTATCAGTTAAAGATGTTGGCAGAGGATAAACAGAAAGTAAATTATTTGACAAATTCCAGTATTTTAAATAGTCTTCACCAAAAGCTCGACAAGAAATAAGTAAGATAATTCCATTTCTATTGACATCAGAGGATTATACAGAAAAAAAATGTTAGAAGAATGCATCAACGAAGATAACTTAAGAAACTTACGTTTCCTGAGAGATGAAAAAAGACTAGTGGGAGAATTATCTTCTCCAGATAAGAACAAATGGCCGCTTTGTACCCATCTTCCCTGGAAAGTGCATTAATGTCTTTACC